AATAGTTTATATTTGCAAATTGTATAGAAACATACGACACTACGAGAACACACTGGTAGGGTCTTTTCCAGGGCCTTGGAGGCCTTAAGGCTTAAGCTGCATTAGCTTCAGGGTAAATCTGCCTTGTATTTAAATATTATTAAAGACCCTGCCTCCCCCCCCAAAAAAGAGTTAGCTTATTTAGAATTGGGCTTTGGAATAATCCTTCTTTCTCTCAAGTGCCTGACAGAGGTCATTACATATGCTGGGGTTTCTTCTCAACTTTTCTAATAAGCTAAAGACGCTGAGCAGTCTCTGGGGTTCAGGGTGTGGCTCTGGATGCTGTGGTCTTAGTTCTATGTACAACCATACACAGGCTGTGTGCAGAATTAACTGTGTTTATTATACTACAAGGAGCAAAATGTAAGCACACTTAGACATCAAAACTTAGAAGAATGGATGGCTATTTTATGTCCATGTTTACTTTACAGAACACCATTTGCTGAGCCATTTTGACAACATGCAGCATGGCCGATCCACAGACCTTGAGCCCCGAACAGGATCTGAAGCGTGTGCTTCTCATCGGAACCACATCAAATGTGTCTAAGTAGTTTTTTATGTAGGTTTTGTTTTCTTTTGATTTTTTTTAAAGTTTAACCAAGCACTGGAGGATGTATTTGACCTAACTATTTCATTTTCTACGGTTATGCATGTATGCATATATTAATATTTTTACCCATCTATTCCATTGGAATAACAAACAGCTCCTATTTTTGACACACTGAGGTCCCCTTTCACGTGGAAATCTCAAATCATTTCATCAACTATTATTCATTAGTTTGTCTTTTCAACCTTAAATTTAACTAATGTTAATGCCTATTCTACGTCAGACACTGTTACCCAATGCTTGCACATTGCTGCCGGATCATCAGAGCTACCAGTTCCCAAGCACATAATGAAGTTACAGTAGAAACGAGTCTATTCTGGCCACTCTGGAGTGGGAGAGCCTTATTCATGTCTGTATTTATTTATATTTCACATTATTAATCTGCAGGGTACATTTATGGATTTATATAGATTTTTCTATACAAAATGAGGTTTTGTTGCCTGTATTTACATATTCCATCTAGAATTTAACTATTAAAATAATATTCTTGGAGAGGGTAGGTATAGCTCAGTGGCAGAGTGCATGCTTAGCTTGCACAAGATCCTGGGTTCAATCCCTGGTACTTTTATTTAAAAGATTTTTAAAAAATAAACCTAATTACTTCCTTCTCTAAAAAAAATTTAATTAATTACTTTAATTAAATAAAAGTGAAATAATATTATTTTTCAGAAGGGTGGGGAGGCATGCAGGTGATTAAATTAGGAACTGTTTTTTGGCAAAAGTTGGTGGAGAAGAGAGAAATTTGTGGTTTGCCCTCCAATATCTGTATCTCAATAACGTTTATATGCACACAAAGCCATTCACAGTGTTGTTTTTCTTAAAGAAGATTCAAACAATAAGGAACGAGAGCTAAAACCTAGGCTTACCTGTCTTACAAGCGTAGTCGCTGTTGTTCTCTGTGTGCTGTGAACATAGCAGTTGCATCTAAACGTCTTCTGATACCACATACTTATTTCCTTAAGCAGAGGTGTACAAAATACAGCCTTCGATCTGTAGTCTCAACAACAAGAAAAATGAACTAGAGCTAGAGGCCCAGGCGCTTGTTAACTTCAAGCCCAGTCCAGCCCTGAAAGGTTTGAGAGGCTGATCGTAGGTCATACGTGAGTTCCTCTTTCTGAGGAAAAACAGTGTCTCAAACATTTCCTGGACATGGAAAATGCTTAGAAAATATTTGATGCTTTGAGTGCAAATACTGAACCTGGAGTGCTTTCAGTGCCCTGGGGGGAGACGTGGTGCCTAGAAGGGGCCAGGAGCGGGGGCTCTGCTGATGTCGGCGAGGCCTTCAAGCTACTGCGTCCAGACAGGGCCGATTCAGGAGCGGCTGCGGCCAGGAGATGATGCTCACTTTTTCATCTGGAAAATGTTGAAGACTCATTTGAGATATAGAAATTGTGCTAACACGTGACCTTTTGGACTCCTCAGATACTGTGGACTCACGAAGCACTTTTTCCTCGATCCTTTCCTGCATCAGTCAGAAGTCAGACGATGCTTCTTTGGCACCAGAGGAAGAGGCTCAAGACACAGAGCCCTGCAGCCCACACTCCCCAGGACACAAAAACTCAGAAGCACATGTTACTGTCAACAACCACCACTATTCAGTAATATGCATATATTGTGTTCCTGGAGCTGTTCTAGTTGCTGCCAATCTCCCCTGCGCTCCTGGTGTGACTGAGAATTGCTGCATTAAAAAGAGACAGGTACTTCTTCACGTAGAATCCTGTGTTCATAAGTTGTACTGAAAAGCAGTTATTCCGAAATGTGGATACAGCTTCTCCCCACAAGGGCTTTGCTGCCCAGGACAAAAGACAGTTTTGGTTTTTTTTCCCAAGTCTATGCAAGTTTCTCTCATTTCTAGTCCCACATTCTTGACAGGAACTCTCACAACCCAAAGTCCACATTGCCTTCAGTGGACAAAGATAACCACAGCTATTGTCGAGCACTTATTATTTCATTTAAGCAGTAGAAGAAAACTATAGGAGGGAATGCGTTTCCCATTTTGCAGACAAGGAAACTGAGGCCAGGAAAGCTCAAGCATCTTGAGCAAGTTCACAAAGTTAAATGAAAAATAGGTGCAGGATTCCCTGCTTTGTCTGAACTCAAGTCTATGGAATTTCTACTATTGCAAAAAAAAAAAAAAGAAATCTTGATATAGAATTGACATAAATTCTGATTAAGTAACTTCCTTGAACCTTGCCCCTCCAGGCCAAGCACCTTCAATCCATCTTTTTAAGACATCTTTAGAGACACCTTCTCTACCCTGGTCACTGTCTTCTAGACCTGCTTGAGTTTGTCAAAGGTCTTACTGGGGCCAGAACAAAATGCAGTGCTCCAACTGTGTCTAAAGGGTGTAGGGAAGACTCCTGACCTCCCTTGGAAGGGACACGGTGCTGAGAAACAATAAAGGTCAAATTCAGAGCACACTGCTATGTGCATGAGGGTCCCCAGTGCACGTAGCGCTTATACCTCCATCGCTGCAGCCAGCTATGATGTTTACTCTTAGACCCTGGTCCTGTTCTTCCCATACAGGGTCTGCACTCAATACAACTCTGCTGTCTTACTTAACATGGTGCTCACCAAGCAGGTCTTCCTGCAGCCCCACTCCTGTGTGGTTCATCCAGGGGGATATGCTGGACATTAGAAGGCTCTGGTTTATATGGTGTCAGTCTGTTCTGGGCTCTGCTCATGCTGACGTCCTGCAGGAGAGAAGAGAAGAGAACAAGGCTGACAGCATTCACTCCATTGTCTTTCCAGCTCTGTCTTCTCTGATCTCCCATCATCCTCAGCTTTCTGACTTCAACTCCTTTCGCTGCCCTTACTATGCTTGTTTCTTCAACAAACAATGGAGGGGGAAGAATTAAATCTCTTTGTCGACAACATGGAAAGCATCATGAGTCTCACTGAGAAGGTGGGGATTCAGCAGAGGTGCTGTGTCCAGCACACACCCACGTTCCTGCCTCTTGCTCCACAAAGATCCAACCCATACCTCTCCTCTTCCATAGAACCTCTCCTGACTGTCCGCCACCCTCACCGCCAGCAATTTCTCCCTCTCCTAGCTTGTGTGTAAGAAGATACAAGACCCTTGAGGCCAGAGACCTTGGTCTAGAAAATTACACCCCTGCCGTACGCTCCCTCTGTTTGTTGGTGCTAACTTTATTGGAAGGCTGGGGTCTTCTGAATCATTACCCGCTGGGGTTTCACTGAGGCCATCCTGATGGTTGCCCTAACAACAAACCACCTCGGTCCTACTGGCAGAATGTGTTTTAGTACAAACAGGTAATGTTTCTTCAGGCTGTGGATAAAGTTTGATAAGTGCTCATTTATAAAAAAAAGTGGTGGAAACTAAAAGGGAAGCTCAATCCCAGAGACAAGACTTTGGGACCTTATCGTGAGAGTAATGCTTTAGAAATCAGGCCACTATTATGGGATCCTGAGATCTCTGTAAAAACCAAACCAAACCAAACCAAACAAGATCTGCTTTGCTGGGTGTGGAAAAGCTTTAATAGAATTAATAATGTGGATCGCTGCTTTTTCAGAAATAAGCTGCACTCTTCTGTGAATTTTGGATTAAATATATGAATATATGGAGTCATTTTGAAGATTCTGTGCGTTAAGAGCAGCAAGAGAGAAGGGAAATCCACGCGGTCTGTGAGAGCGGGGGGTGGCTGTCACAGTGAGGGAGTCTGGCACTTGGTTTCCGCACTTTCTGTACTGGCTCTGGGACCTGAGGCAGGTCCCTCTCTGTGGTTCTGTTTTCTCAACTCTAAAATGAAGGCATTACATTTCATGACATCCACTGTCATTGCCAATGGTAAAATCTGTTGCTGAGCTCTTCTTCTTCCAAGAGAGAAGGGACTTCATTTTCGCTTCTACATGTCTTTAATTTCAGCTGAACTCATGCCTGGAAATGGTGCAATAAAAAGATAGTCCTTTCTCTTTCTTTTTCTCTCTCTCATCCATTTGTTACATACATAGAAAATGTCTGTTAGAAATGAATGCTTTCTGAGTTTAGAAAAGTGATTTTTACTATGCCTTTTCCTTACTGAATGTCTAAGAGAAGGACACCTGAAACTAAAATAAGCTTATTAAAGATAGATTGTCTCAAATTGTCCTTTTGTCTACTATTATTTTTTTTTAATCCCCTAGATGGCTTTTGATAAATAACCTTGGGAAATCATTAAAGAGATGAAACGCTCTCTCTCATTGTCCCAGATTCTCTGTATGGAGGATGACAAAGTTTTATGAAAAGGGATGTTCAGTGAACTCTGGGTACATGAATGGCTTTGAATTCATTTCCCTAGTTTCTGTTCTCTTTGAATGTATATTGTAAACAGTGGGGACACAAGAATTCTCATCAACATTATGAGCCAAAACAAATGATCAGGTTACACCTGTTTGGCTTACACTACCTTGGAAACCACTCGACTCCATTCTCCTCAGCTTAAAGCACTAGTTCCCTCCCAGGGAAACAATATAATCAACTCATGACTTTTTTAATCGCCTGAGCAACAGACTGGCTCTCTTCTTAATCTCCACGTCTGGGTCAAGAGGTAAGTTAAGCTTTCGTTCGCTTACGGTCGCACCTGTTTCTTTAACGGGGGAAGGCCATTTTTTGCTATTGGGGAGTCATTACCTCTTTCCAAGAAGCTTCTGTCAGAGAAGGTGTCCTAATTATTACAAACCTAGACATACTGCTGTGCAGTTTTGTGCCCCATCACAGGTGCCCTTTCTGGATGAGCTGCTGCTCTGAAAAGTTCTCCATTTGGAATGTGGGAGTGACGAGGGCTTTGGGAGGCCATGGCCAGGTCAGGAGCCTGGCCCAAGGACAGGGTGTGGGCTGATGTAAGTGAGGTGTTGGGGGTACAGGTCAGGACCTTTCAGTGGCCCTTTCTGTGTGGCCTGAGGACAATCTTTGCACTGTGCCTAAGAGAGAATCCTCTGAAAATGCCACTCTTTATTCATACAGGAAACTGAAATACCAGGCCAGTGGTGTGTAGGTACACATGTCAGCCTGGGTGGGCACTGCTCTACTCAGCACTGCGCATGGACCCTCAGTATTGACCATCCATGTTTTCAATGTAAAATATAAAGTTAGATCTAAAATAATTTTACATCTACAGGCTAATCCTTAGACTTCTGGCTTTTATGCAATTAAATGTATATAAGGAAAACCAAATGTCACAAAACCAATAAATTAAATGAAAATTTAGTAAAGTTTAATGGACAAAAGAGGTCACTTTGCTGAAATGAAATTGCTCCTCATTGAGAGAATGAGATTGTGACTGCAGAGCCCAGGCGATGGGCCCGCCTGTTGCACCAGGGCTGGTCCAGGCTGCTTCTTCCAGCCCTGGTCTCCGGTCCAGCCACTCGCAGCCTGGTTCATGCTGCCCTCCCCATGGCTTCACAGGGCTTTCTCTTGAGCACAACCCATGGTGTGTGGGCACTTGTAGGCCTAGCTGATTGAAGTTCTGCAACTTGGTTCCAAGGTGATTTTAAACATGATGTAAATATCAGAGGTCAACAACATTTTCTGCATAAGTCCTGATAGAAAATATTTTAGGCTTTGAGAGCTGTTGTATCTCTGTTACAACTACTTAACTCTGCCGTTTTGGGGTGAAAGCAGCCATAGACAATAGTCAATGACTGGGCACGGCTGTGTCCCAAAAAACTTTATTTACAAAACAGCTGGTGGACTGGATTTGGCCTGAAGGCTATGTAGTTTGCCAAACCCTGGTAAATATGAGCACTAAGTCTCAGGGCACCCCTTGTCATCCAGCCTTGCTTTTATTTGTTTAAAGATCAGAAACACACACACACACACACCAACTTCTCAAAGACTCCTGAGAATCTAACAACAGACCCTCAGAGGCCACAGATCCTGGTTTGAGAAACTCTCTGCTTTTGGGACTTTCCAAATAGGCTCTCTCTAAAAATGAAAGTGCCTTACATTCGAACAAGGGATTAAAGACTTCACTAGTGTCAGCGGTGAAAAGAGAGAGAGAAAACTTTTCTTTAGGGGTTAAAGATGATTTGTGATGATAATTTGTGTGCAAGGAGGACAGAGATCAGGCCCAGGGGCAGATGGAGACCAGTCCTGCAGGACGGTCCTCCTGCTGGATTTTCTGCTGATTATTAGGAGTCATGGGCAAGCTGCTTCCCTCTCTGAGTTTCAGTTTCTTCATCACCGCGTTGAGGGTCATACCACACCCAGTGCCTATGGCAGAAGATGGGGTGAGGGCCTGGTGAAATGCTGTGAGATGTTTGTAAAATGGTCCAGGGCTACCTGAGCACAGGTGCTGTTATCACTGAGATGTGAAAGAAGCTGGGGTGGAGACGGGATGGCTTTTTCAGGGCTTGTCACTTGTGGTCTGTGAGGCATTGGAAATCCATTGTCCCATTAACACAAGTTTCAAAACAGCACTTCTTGGTAATTACAGAGCAGGTCTCCAGCTCCTGGCTTCTTAGACAGTGTTTGTGGCCATCTGGAGCACACAGAGGGAACTTGCTTGCTGCTGCCTGAACCACACAAGAAGTGAAGACCCCTATTCCTTAAAAAACTGAAAACAGACTTACCCTGTGACCCAGCAATCCCACTCCTGGGCACATACCCAGAGGAAACTCTAAATCAAAAATATACATGTCCCCAGTGTTCATGGCAGCATTATTCACAATAGCCAAGACATGGAAGCAACCTAAATGTCCATCAACAGATGACTGGATAAAGAAGTTGTGGTGTATTTATACAATGGAACACTACCCAGCCATAAAAAATAATAAAATAATGCCATTTGCTGCAACATAGATAGACTTGGAGATTGTCATTCTAAGTGAAGAAAGCCAGAAAGAGAAAGAAAAATACCATATGATATCACTCATATGTGGAATCTAAAAAAAAAAGGTGGGGGGAG